CTTATGCCAGAAAACAAGGAAGGACTCAAAAACGGAGGGGGCCAAGTCACGGGGCTACAAGAAGCTAGTCAATGAGTTCCCGTGGCCAAACTTGGCACGATTGGATTAAATAATCTTAACCTAATAATAGCAGATTTAATTGATGGAAACATATTGAATCAATAAAACTGCCCATGTCTACAGCAATATCCAAAAAAAGAGAGAGAACAAGGAAGGGTGGGAGTAGGTAGGAAAGGAAACTCTTCTTTATAGACAGATGTGAACTAATAAATGAAAAAGATGAAATCTGAAAATCATTATTTCCCAATAATAATAAAATCAAATGAATGCCAAAACCATGAGTTAAAAAGTTGTGGGTGAACATAAAATTCAGTGACAAGATATCACCCTGGAGGTTATTTATGAAGTGCAAAGCCAATAATCACCTGCACAGTGCAGAGCAGTGGCTGTCACCTCTCCAATCAAGTGAGCAAACCTGGCGTCACTAACAGTGAGAAACCCAGAATGAATGTACCTCCCGATGTGATGCAATGTGAAGTAACGGATACCACCAATGAGGTGTTCTTGCCAAAAAACATTTAATCTGCGTCTAATCAAGCCTCTCAACCTAATTTCCAGGTTACAGGAAATACAGGCAGGAGGAACGAGTTAAAGCACAACATGAGGAAACTATCAGACAAGTTCAGAATGTAGGATATTTCATGAAACAGTTGGCTGGAGTCCTCCAAAAGTCAGTTTCTTTAAAAAAAAAAAAAGTGCAAGGGGCAGAGCGGGCGGGAGAAGAAGGGATCTAGATTTAACAGTGAGTTAACAGATAAGATAACCAAATGTAATGCACAAACCTCAACTGGACTATGATGTGAAAAAAATTATTATAAAAACATCTTTGGCACAGTTGAGGATATCTGAATATAGACTAGACACACACGTATGTATGAAACTCTGGAATTAGTAATTCTCTGAGGTGGTATTATGATGATGCAGATTACCTTTTATGTTCAGAGAAGCCTGCTCAAGTATTTACAAGTGAAGGGCCCCAGTGGTGCCGCAGCAATGCACATACAAAACGTTAACTATTGAATCTAAGCGAAGGGTAGGGAGTTCATTCTTTCATCAGCTCTGTAGTTATGAACATTTTCATAATAAAAAGTTTGGAGGAAATTATGAAAATGGAAAACAAAATTTAATTCTCAGAGACAAACCTTAACTCAAAGAGTTTATGGACCCCAAGTGGGGAACCACTGATCACCTAATTCATCTTTTTACCATCCAGAGTGTTGCCTCAAAATAATGAGAGACCCTAAAGACTCACCATGTGTAACAGCAGTGATACAAACTGACATTAAGACAAGAGGACTGAAATGAAGGGGCAGGCTATCAAGAATTCAAACAACCAATTCAAGTATTCCTCTAAATACATCACATACAAATGAATGCACTCGCAAGCTGCGAAGTCTGAACAAGCTCAGTGGGCAGAATCAATGCCAGGGCCTGCCTTGGTTCTGAGCCCTACGGCCTCATCTGCTATAATCTGACTTCAAGGTCCAGATCGAATTCTTAGCTTGTAAAAGCAATCATCTGCCATGCCTTGTTTTGTGCATAGACTTCAATTATGATATTGTACTATAGTTCTGCAAGATGTTATAACTGGGGAAAACTGGGTGCAGGGTACATGGGACCTCACTATACATGCTTCTGCAAATTCCTCTGACTATAATTTTTCAAAAACAAAAACAAAACACATAGTAGATCTCATGTGCTGGTCTTGTCTAGTTTGAAATATCATTAATCTGTTCCCTAAACCCTTCCCACAACTAATCAGATAAATGACAAGCTTTCTTCAAAATGAGACCTTCAAAATCCTAAAGATTATCAATCTTAAAACTATTAAAATCCAAGAAGAAATATAAAGAGATCTTTACATCTCTTGCAAATGTAAGCCTCCCCTCTATACCCACTCAGTTTCCTGCACAGTCCCTGCCACATCACCCCAGGGTAAGATGTGAATTCTTACCCAGTTGCTTTGTTTTCCAGGTCACAGTCAAGTAAAGCGGGTGAGGTGGACGCAGTGCAGCTGGACTAGGGCACAGTCATTCATAGCTGCCCAGTGGACAGTGAGGGAGGGGAGCGGGTCACTTTCCCACATCTGCTGCTCCTCTGGCCTTCTGAGCCTGAGAACTGAGGAGTAGCCTGATAACTGCCTCTCAACTTCACCGAAGGAACAGGCTCAAGAGTCTGGATGAGTCTGAGATTTTTCCCAATAATAAGCATTCATTCATACCTTTTGGGCCCTGAGGTGAAACTGAGTATAAGTCAGAAGCCATGCAGAATCCTACTCTCATGGACAGAACTCTCTCCAATAGCCCCTCCTGCTGGAGTTGAAACCAGAAACATCAGTTGCAAATTCTCCCTCACACCAGCCAGCTGCCAGGTCCCACCCAGGTCAATGCCTACAACTTCAAAAGGCTTGCAAGACCCTTGGTGTGTGTGCTGCAGGGGGGGCGGGGGGCAGTCGGCAAGAGCATGCTTCTCAGGGTGCTGGCTTGTGCCCCAAGCTATGGCACAGAGGTCACTGAATGGAAACTGCACAGAAGAAACATTGCTGAGAGGCCAATATGGTCAAATGGCTGAATGGGTTTCTAATTTGTTCTGAAGACTCACCATCTGGTTTTCATTCCACCTGAACACATGGGTTTTGCATAATAATTTTTAAAGAAGTCCTGAAAATGCATTTTTCCAACACTGCCTGATTTTTCAGGCAAGGAAATACCTTCTGTATACAACCCAACAGAAGTGGAATACAGAAGTGTTCATTACACACAGTTATGTATTTTATAGCAATGCTCACAGAGAGATGCCTGAAAGGAAATGCACCAAAACACTAACAAGTACTGTAGGTGGTGGAAGTATAAGGACTTAACTTTCTTATATTTTCCTACATTTTACACTTTTTTTAGATAGTGATCCTACACTACACACTTATCAGAGCCAGGCTTACAGGAAGAAGATTTGCAGAGCAGGCAACCCTCATTAGATCCCACCCGAGATGGGACAGGGAGCATGGCCTGGTGGCCACAGCGGCGGTCAGCTAGAGCAGCACAGGCTGAAGTGGGTGAAGAAATTTAACTCCCAAGACTTCCACATGCTTCCTCAAATTCCAAAACACTACTTTTAAAGTGGCTCCCACGAGTCTGTCAGTAAACAAGTCAGGAAGTGTGCTGACAAATACCAAGAACAGAGGCTCCAGCTCCGCCACTACCCAGTGCAGCCAGCACCGGCAGCATGCACGGTGGGTGAGCAGAGGCTGGCAGGAAGGTGACCCTGGTCGTTCCACTCACAGGTTGCACATCGTAAATGACTGGACTTTCGTATTTAAATTACGGTAAGATAGAATTTGCTGCTCCTGCACCTCTCTTTAAAATAATCTTTAAAATAACATTTAACTGGAAAGTATCCAATTTCCCTCTGGGCTGCATACTGCAACAGGATCACTGTAATACCACACGATAGTCCGTATCACAGCATGTTACCAGCAGCAATGGTGCGTTTCCATTACAAACTCTCCATACCCTCTTTGGCAGAGAAAAGAGAGCAGTCATCTCATAAAATGTCACATCTTCAAATATTTGTATGAAAATCTATCAGTTATTTTGTGGTCACAGAAAACAACATTTTCTAATTCTTACTAACTAATGTGGACACTGGAGATGAGTGTGTCATCAGGGACCGGGGGGAGAGTAGGGCAGCAGAAGGGCCCTCTCTAGATTATTCAACTGTTTTCAGAGGTCAGCTCAGCCTTTTTTTTCCTCCCTCCAGAGACCTCAGACTTGGGGACGTTATGGCTTGATTTAAAGATATCTCAAATCTCCAAGACCACTGGTTAACTCTCTATAGAATCTGTGATACATGGCAGTAAACCTCATTCATAATGAGGCAAGTCAGAAGCAATCCTGAGAATGTAAAGCAAAATTTCTGATGAAAACAGCTGACCCTTGAACAATGTGAGGGTTAGGGGCACTGACCCCTGCAGAGTTGAAAATCCATGTATAACTTTTGACTCCCCAAAAACTTAAGTACTAATCACCTACTGTTGACCGAAGGCCTTATGTATATAATACATATACATACATATGTAAAACATATAATACATATTATGTGTATTACATACTGTATTTATACAGTAAAGTAAGCTAGAGAAAAGATGTTAAGAAAATCATGAGAAAATATATTTACAGTACTGGAAAAAACCTGTGTATAAATGGACTCACACAGTTCAAATCGATGTTGTTCAAGAATCAACTGTAATTTAAAATTGGATGAATTTAGTTCATTATAATTTATGGCTTTTTGAAAAAATTAAATATGGACTCATGCATATATATATATATATATATACACACTTACTTTTTGTCTGAGTTCATTTCTCCTTTTTCCCATCTAAAGCTACACAGTAAATCCTCATGTGACCATTTCAAGAACTATTTTTTGCTACTAAATTTTGCCAACAATCTGCTCAGCATTCTAGCAGATGTTTCTGTTTTCAAACCTCTGGGAACTTGGCTGGATATGTTTTCTTTCCCCATGTTAAAAATAAAAGAAATGGCCCAAATGTGGCCTAATACCCTAGAGAAGCTTTTCCCCACCCCACACCCCTCAATCTCCCTATTCATGTGACCTCCATGGTCCCTTCTCAAATCTCTGCTTTTCCATTAGAGAAGATGTTTCCAATTACGGTCCATTTTGTTGCCAAAGATGACATCACTCAGATGTGTTTTTTTAAAGAAAATGCTACTGATTGTTAGTTACTTGGGGACCATCTGCAACGATTTAAGCCAACTATTGTGATGAACCTCATGAACTCACAATGTCATAGGAGGGCGATTTGTTCAAGATCGAGTCTCCAAACAGAACAACACTCTTACACTGGGGGCTGGAGGGACAGGGGGATCCTTGTCTTTCATCTAATAATATCTTTAAATACATTTGTGGCCCAACCTTACCTCGGTAACATCCATGACTTTGATGGCTGCCAGCTGACCTGTTTTAACATGTCGACCCTGAAAAACAGAATAAGAAAGATAATTGGCACAACCGTTTTTGCACAATCACTAGAACAAAACTGTTGAAGTTTCGATGTATCATCTCTTCCGTACTTTTTCCCAAAGTGATGATGAAATAGTCCCATGCTTTCCAATAGAACAGTATGGTTTTTAACACCAATGAACCATACTTGATAAACAAAACAATTCACAGAACAAATGAGTTTCATTCCCTCTTTCTTTCCAGGGTTTAATTTACATATCAATACTTCTCAATCCAAGAAACTTAAATGTTCT